AAAATATGAAGGATCATTCAAGCATCATGTCAGGGTTAAAGGATACTTTATAAAGCCTATAAAACCTCAGGCTCAGCACCATGTTTTTCACTAATATATTAAAATATTCTCTGTACTAGTGCAAGCATTATTCAGCAACCCTGTATGATTACATATTGTAAAAGCTATTATTTTATGTATAAAATAAATATATATACTATATATATTTTATATATACACTTATCTGGAAGATCTCAAATGTATTTGTTAACATAGCACATCTGCTATTATGGTGCATGTTAAAAAAAGATTGTACACAAGCATTGTTTCATACGCAAGCAAACTGTTGTAATACTAAAATGCCATCAGTATTTATTTTGAAGCTGTGTGGATTTAGTTTATACTGATGACATACTATATTGTATTTTTAAGTAGAATCCTGGTAACCTTTAAACTACAACACTTAAAGGAAATGGCCAAGGTGAGATGTAAGCGACATGCAAGTCTATTTTCTCCTCTTTCCTTTAAGGCCAACAATGTATAATAATTTTTATTTGAAAAAAGATGTAAGTTTTGTTTCAAATTATAACTAAGCTCTGAAGATACTAAAGTTGCATAATAGTTTTGCAAAATTCAGCTAAGATAACATACATGAATATGCAATTATTTTGTCAAATTCAAATTATTAAGATTGGTTTTTATCCTATTTTAAGCACCTTGTACCATCAAAATAATTGAGAATTTAGGTGAAATATCTTATGAATGGCTTAACCTGTGTATATTCCTTGTATGCCTTGGGGTTTAAATATGCCCCCCCTGTTGTTTAATTTGTACATTAACCCTCTTTTGGTTAATATAATTAAATTAAATATTATTAAATTAGAGCACCACCCTTTGAAATTAGACAACAGGCATATGTAGTACAGCAATGTAGTACTCCTATCACTAACATTCATTGGACTGAAAAAAGCCCTAAGTTCCCTAACCAATTATTGTTCTGGTAGTTATGATCAGTTGAATTTCTAAAATAAAGTTCCTAATTGTCACAAAGTGGTTTCAAATGCATACCTGGCAACTACATATCCAGATTAAGAACAGATAAAAATCTTCAAAAATGACTATTATTTATGGTGCAAACTGAATTTGAAGCAACTCTGGGCAAGTAAACAAAGCTAAACCCATTGTATATCAAAATTATGTCCTTCACAATGCACAAAAACAGCAATTAGAGAAAAAAAGCTAAATTTTAAATTACAAACTGAATAAGGAAGAACGTAGCAGAATTATTGATAATCACTAATAAAACATTTAAAACTAAATGTTGTTTGTCCATCGATTTCGATGAAGACCTTGACATCTTGTGGGTTATGGGCCATCAACGACGTGTACGTAGGTGGCTAATAAGACCGATGTTAGGACGGAATGTTCTGCCACATACTGAACAAAGAAATGTAGACACTGTTACTTCAACATTTACAGCTCTGGCTTTGCGGAGTGCTCGCTTCTCTTGTGCCAAGATTATCCTTCTGTGTTCATATGTCTGGCAACCCTGGTACACCCAGGTGCGCCATGTCAGTCGATCATGAGCCAGAAGTTCCCAAGAGATGGTGTTAATATCCAGGGACTTAAGAGAGGCTTTCAACGTGTCTTTGTATCGCTTCTTTTGTCCCCCATGCGATCGCTTTCCTTGAGACAGCTCACCATAGGAGAGCTGTTTAGGGATGCGATAATCTGGCATCCTTACAACATGGCCTGCCCATCGCATCTGGGCTTTCATCAACAGAGTGTAAACTGATAATAGGCCTGCTCTGGAGCGGACATCTGAGTCTGGTATCTTATCCTGCCACTGGATCCTCAGAATTCTTCGAAGGCAAGTCATGTGGAAGTAATTCAGTTGCCTAACGTGCCTTCTGTACACTGTCCAGGTCTCACTAGCATACAACAGGGTAGTTAGCACTGCTTCCTGGTAAACTTTAAGCTTGTTAGCAAGACTTATTCCAGGGTGGTCCCACACGTTAGTCCGCAATCTGTGAAATGCAGAACTTGCCTTGGCAATTCTACAGTTGACCTCGATGTCAATTGTCACTGCACGGGAAAGGGTACTACCAAGATATGTAAATTTGTACACTGCTCGCAGCTTTTGTCCCTTTACTGTGATGGTAGGCTCTTGATATTGGGTTTTTGGAACTGGCTGGTACATCACTTCAGTTTTCTTCGTGTTGAAGGAGAGGCCAAAGTTGTCACAAGCGGCTGCAAATTTGTCCATGCTGGCTTGCTGCATTTCCTGCTCCGATCCTGCATTAAGGGCACAGTCATCAGCAAGGAGGAGATCTCGTAGCACAGTCTCCTTTACCTTGGTGACAGCCTGAAGTCTTCGCAGGTTGAACAGTTTCCCATCAGTTCTGTACCTCAGATTAACTCCCACTGAGCTGTTCTGAAAGGCGTCTGACAGCATGGCTGAGAACATCATGCTGAACAGGGTTGGTGCCAGCACGCAGCCTTGCTTAATGCCATTAGTAACAGGGAAGGCCTCTGAGGCTCCACCATTACTCAGAACATGAGCCGCCATGCCATCATGGAACTGTCATACCATCAGAATAAACCTGTCAGGGCACCCAAACTTCGACATAATGCACCATAATCCTTCACAACTAACTGTGTCAAAAGCCTTGGTGAGATCCACGAAGGTGATGTATAGTTCACAATTCTGCTCCTGACATTTCTCCTGGAGCTGTCGAGCTGCAAATATCATGTCACTGTGCCATGCTCTTTGCGGAAACCACACTGTGTCTCAGGTAGTATATCCTGTTCCAGATGGTCAATCAGGTGATTTAGCAACACTCGTGCAAAGATCTTGCCTGCAACGGAGAGAAGTGATATTCCTCTATAATTATCACAGACTTGTCGATTTCCTTTCCTCTTGTAGAGGTGCATGATGGACGCGTCTTTCAGTTCCTAAGGAATGGAACCTTGTTTCCAGAAAGATCAAAACAACTGGGTAAGTTTTTCAACAAGCACAGCACTGCCAGCCTTATAGACTTCCGCTGGGATTGTGTCAGATCCTGGTGCCTTACCACTGGAACATTGACTGATGGCCTGTGAGGTTTCAGCCTCTGATGGTAGGGCATCCAGGCTATAGTTGATATCTACCTGGGGTATCCTGTCAATCACCTCATTATTGATGGTGGATGGGCGGTTCAGCACAGAGTGGAAATGCTCGGCCCAACGCTGTAAAATCAGGGTCTTCTCAGTGATAAGAGTTGCACCACTCGAATCCAGTAAAGGAGAGCTTCCTAAGGGCTGAGGTCCATACAGGGATCTAAGGGCTTCATAGAATCATTTGGCATCATTTCTATCAGCAAATTTCTGGATTTCATCTGCTTTGGCACTCAGCCAGGAGTCCTGCATCTTGCGGAGCTTGCTCTGTACAATCCTGCGAGTATTTATAAAAGCATTTTTCTTTGCAGTTGACAATGGGTCGTTCTGATGAGCGCGATAGAGATGGTGTTTTTCGGCAAGCAAGGCCTTAATCTCTTCATCGTTTTCATCAAACCAGTCCTGCTGCTTCCTATATGAGGGTCCAAGAACCTTAAGTGCAGAAGAGTGCAAGATGTCCCGGAAACATTCCCAGTCCTTCTCAGCATTTTCCTGCATTTGCAGCTCCAGGAATTGATTGTCAAGATCTTTTACTAATGAAGCTACTATGTCGGAGTTTTCCAGTGTACTGACGTTGATCTTTTTCATCACAACTCTGTTTCCCTGTGGACGATTCTTTGGCTTGATGTGAATATTTAACTTGGAAATGATGAGTCTATGGTCAGTCCAGCAGTCAGCACTCAGCATAGCCTTAATTACTCTTACATCTTGCATGTCTTTCCTCCGCACAATGACATAATCAATGAGATGCCAGTGCCTGGAGCGTGGGTGCATCCAGGACATCTTTTTACAAGTAGGTAGGCGAAAGATGATATTAGTAATGACCAGATCATGAGCAGCACATGTCTTCAATAGCAACAGGCCATTGCTATTACACGTGCCAATTCCATTTTTACCAATAACGCCATCCCAGGTAGAGTGATCGGACCCCACTCTCACGTTGAAATTGCCAAGTAAAATCAGCCTATCGGTGCGCTTCACAGATGAAAGTAGGGCATCAAGATCTTCATAAAACTTGTCCTTTACTTCATCTGGATTTGTCATTGTGGGTGCATAGGCACTGATCAGTGTGGCTTGTTTTCTACTTAGTAATGGGAGATGCAGTGTCCTGAGTCAATCATTCACACCCTTAGGAAGACTGGCAAGTTGGCGAACAAGATGGTTCTTAACCGCTAAGCCAACTCCAGACTCACGACATTGGTCACTGCTACGTCCACACCAAAAGAATGTGTAGCTGCCTCCTGTTTCTGTGGGCTGACCTTCATTGGCTAGACGAGTTTCACACAGGGCCGCAATGTCAATGTTAAATCTTGCAAGCTCTCTGTTACCAGAACTGTTCTTCTTTCTGGGCGATCTGCTAATGGATTGTCTTGAAACATTCCATGTACCAATAATAAGTGGTAACACCTTGTGTTTCGTCTTAAATTTTGTATTTCGACCGCATGAGATGGGATCCCCTCCAAGTGCGGTAGGCTGGACAGGGTTTGAAAGAAGCAACAATGTTTAGAGCACATTTTCTAGCCCCTTCTTCATACTACGGAGGTGAGCAGTGTGATCCTAAAGAGGGCTGCTCAGTCGCTCAGATAGACACCGAATCCAGCTGTTGCTTCATTAGACCTGAGCCGCCTGTGTGCAGGTCCACGTCCACAGCTCCCAGTGATTCCACACCTGCTGCTTCTTTGCTCGCCTATCGCCACAGGACTTTGAGATTTGTCGGAGTTAGGGAAAGTCAAGATGTCAAGACTTGCGCGTGGATTGGATTTAAGTGAGGGAGAGGTGCGCATAGTCAGCCTCACTCTATCTTCCCAGATTCCATCTTATTCCAATGGCAGGACAAAAGTCGAGACAATTGGAGATGGGCTGGGTGCAGTGGTTGACCAGGGAATCTTTCGTGTCTTGCCACGCTCTCAGTATACCACGTCGCTTGCAGAAACTGCCTTCATGACCGTTGGTTCTATTTTAATAGATCTCATCTGCTCACTCCGCCAGAGTCTGTCTTCACATGCTCGGGATAGACAAATCACTTGCTCACCGAGTGTCGAAGACACAATGGCTACTCTCTACCTGGTTTCGCCAGTCTGTTGAAGCTGTTGCCCGGGGTGTGGCCGCTGCGCATGTTAAAGCTACTAGGAGCCATAGGTGAGAGCTGAATGTCAGGTGGGGACCAAAGATGTACGAGCTGCCCTAAAAAGGCACGACATGCCCTACACCAGAGGTACTACCCCTCCCTGAACACCCCATACACCCCTAAAACTAAATACAGGTCTATTGAAAGTAATAATCAGAAATATTCAGTAAGAATTTGGTTTGATTACTAGAAAGGCATTTCGCCTTCATTGATATTTCTTATGGTATGATGGAATTACTAGAATTGCAATATGTCCTACATGGGGCTATTCTTGAAAAGTATTTGAAAGCTATAGTTAGCACAAACTGCAGCACTACAGAGAGTCCTAGGGCCCCAAGAATGGCCCATGTAACACCTCTGTTGCATCAATTGCCCTAATTGCCGGTTTGCTTCTGGGTCCAATTCAAGATATTGGTTACATATGTACTAAGCCCTAGAACTTTACAAGAGAGTGGGAAAAATCTAAATAACATTTACATTGCATGGTTGCAGTATAGTGGCAGACTTACAGTATCAATATACAATAATTTATTTCTTCAGGAAGCTACTACTAGCACAAGTAGGTTCATCAATAAACTTTAAACCAGAAGCAACTTTTAAATAATGACTGAAGAGTATGATAAGTATTTTTCTGATGCTCTTTTTGAAATTGGAAAAAGTTTTCAATGCAAGCTTCACTTATATCTAATTACATTTTCCATCAAGGAAAACTAACAAACTAACATTTCGAGTCTCTCTAATACTGCAGTATCAGCCATCAAAGTTCTCCAGATTAATTAGAAATATTTGCCAGTTAAGGAAATAATCCAGTTCTGAACTCAATTACATGAATATATATGCCATTTTATAGAATTCATACAAAACATAGAAATGAAAGGACATCAAAGAAATATATAAACTAAATTTAGAAAAAGACAAAATTACTATTAACATAATATGTTAATTTTGTGATGTCTACCCTTCTTACATACAAACTGTGTACTTCTATATGGAAATAGATGTACATTGGCATAATGAACCATGTAGAAGAAATAAAAATTCTTCTCAACAGAGTATTCAAAATCAGTCTTACATGTTAGCTAAATGTAACATGAAATTCATTGTTAAAAGATTTTTCCAATCTTCTTTTTTTTCTTTTTTTTTGTAAAAATTTTTATTTTCAATTTTATAATACATAACAATCTTACAAATACTTCAGATAAAAAATAAAACAAATTGATACACACCACATTCGGTCTTGCCCGCCCATTTTCCCCCAAACCGCATCCCACTTCAAACCAACTTACTTCTTTCCTTCTTTTTCTTCACTCACCCCCTCTCCTCCTTCACCTCCATCTTCCTACTTACTTCTCACCTTCTTCTTCTCCCTCTTGATGCAGTCCAGGGGAAATGCCCGAGCAGTTTCTCTCTCAAAATTAAAACATTAATATTACATACAATAAGACTATTTCTACTTTATCTGAACTACTTAAACTTCAACCCATCCCCCACCCCCCTCCCCCCACCCCCCTCTCCCCCGACTTCCCAGAGCAAAATACAGGATTATGCAAACATATTAAACATAATCTATTTAAGTTTACTAATTATACAATGAACAAAATCATAAAACCCTTAACTCTCTTCAAACTTTAACATCATAAGTTTATAAACAAAATCATTACTCATAGAATAAGTGAAACTTTGTAGTTCCATATTTCTTCTGAACATATTCTATCCATCTTCTCCATACGTTAAAATATCTCTCTTGTGAATGGTCCTTTAAATAAGCAGAAATTTTAGCAATTTCTGCAAAATTAGAAACCTTAAATACCCATTCTTCTAAAGAAGGCAGAGTATCCTTCTTCCAATATTGACCCACCAGTAATCTTGCTGCTGTTATTAAATTCAACATTAAAATAGTTTCTTTAACATTAAAGTCCACAAAAATTCCCAAAAGAAACAGTTGGGGGTAAACTTAATCTTCCTTTTAAAAACCTTTTGAATGTTCCACCAAATCATAATCCAGAAGGCTTTAATAACTTTACAAGTCCACCAAACATGAAAATAGGTTGCATCCAAGCAACCACATCTCCAACATTTAGGTTGCAGGTTTGGGTACATACAGGACAGCTTTTTAGGATCCAGATGCCATCTATAAAACATTTTGTAAAAATTTTCCCTCAAATTCTGGGCCTGCGTAAATTTAACATTTCTAGTCCAAATTACCTCCCATAAGTCCAACGAGATTGGTTCTTGAATATTCTGGGCCCATTTAATCATACAATCTTTAACTCACTCTGTTTCTGAATCCAATTTTATTAACTCATTATAAATTCTTTTAATATGGGCACATTTCTGATCCTTGATCTGAATTACCAAGTTTTCATCTACTAAAGTAATTCCCACTTTCTTATCCAAAGTCCATCTCTGCACGATTTGCAAATATTAAAACCACCATTGTAACATGTTTTCTTGCCTTAACACATCAGAAGACTTTAATTGCCAATCAGTGCCCGACCAAATAAGTAACTCTTTATACGAAATGTTGTCAAAATTCACCCCCTTAGAAACCCCCTGGATTGCTTGTCCAGGGATCCCCCAAATAGGTATTTTATAAGTTAACTTATAATAATATTTTTTCCAAACTCGAAGTAAAGCATATCTTAAAATATGTGACTTAAAGACCAAATCTACTTTCTTATCAAAAATTAAATATGCATGCCAACCATATACTAAATCCCACCCTTCAAGAACAAGAATATCTCTATTTAATAATAATAATAGTAGTAAAGTTGGAAGGGACCTTGGAGGTCATCTAGTCCAACCCCCTGCTCGGGCAGGAAACCCTAAACCATTTCGGACAAATGGCTGTCCAGTCTCTTCTTAAAAACTTCCAGTGTTGGAGCATTTACTGCTTCTGGAGGCAGGTTGTTCCACTGATTAATTGTTCTAACTGTCAGGAAGTTTCTCCTTAGTTCTAGGTTGCTTCTCTCCTTGATTAGTTTCCACCGTTGCTTCTTGTCCTGCCTTCAGGTGCTTTGGAAAATAGCTTAATTCCCTCTTCTTTATGGCAGCCCCTGAGATATTGGAATACTGCTATCATGTCCCCCCTTGTCCTTCTCTTCATTAAACTAGACATACCCAATTCTAGCAACCGTTCCTTATATGTTTCAGCTTCCAGTCCCCTAATCATCTTTGTTGCTCTTCTCTGTACTTTTCCTAGAGTCTCAACATCTTTTTTACATCGTGGTGACCAAAACTGGATGCAGTATTCCAAGTGTGGCCTTACCAAGGCATTGAAGAGTGGTATTAATACTTCACGTGATCGTGATTCTATCCCTCTGTTAATGCAGCCTAGCACTGTGTTGGCCTTTTTGGCAGCTGCAGCACATTGCTGGCTCATATTTAAGTGATTGTCTACTAGGACTCCGAGGTCCCTCTCACAGTTACTACTATTGAGCATGGGGCCACCTATGCTGTACTTGTGCATTTGGTTTTTCTTGCCTAAATGTAGAACCTTGCTTTTTTCACCATTGAATTTCATTTTGTTAGTTAGTGCACAGTGTTCAAGTCTGTCCAGATCCTTCTGTATCTGAAGCCTGTCTTCTGGAGTGTTGGCTATTCCTGCCAGCTTGGTGTCATCTGCAAATTTGATGAGTTCCCCATCTATCCCTTCATCCAAATCGTTGATGAAGATGTTGAAGAGTACTGGGCCAGAACAGAGCCCTGGGGCACCCCACTACACACTTCCCTCCATATAGATGCAGTTCCATTGAGGACCACTCGCTGAGTACGGCCGGTCAGCCAGCTACGGATCCATCTGGTGGTGGTTCTGTCTACCCCACATTTTTCTATCTTGTCAAGTAGTAGGTTGTGATCTACTTTATCAAATGCCTTACTGAAGTCTTACTAATTTGTTAAATTAAGCCAGTCACTTACTAAAGTTAAAGTGGCCGCATCATAATATAATTTCAGATTTGGTGCTTTAAGTCCACCTCTTTCTCGAGCATCTTGTAAAATCTTAAACTTTACCCTTGATTTCTTCCCGCCCCAAATAAATTTATTAATACCCTTCTGCCACTCATCCAAATTAGCATCCTTCTTTAAAATTGGTATCATCTGAAACAAAAAAAGAAACTTTGGTAGAACATTCATCTTCACTACTGAAATTCTCCCCAATAACGATAGTTATAGCTTTTGTCAATCATTTAAATCCTTTTGAACTTTAACCCATAAGCGTTCATAATTATTCTTATACAATTTTCCATTAGATCTTGTAATATAAACTCCTAAATACTTAACCTTATTAACTATTTCATAACCGGTTGTTTCAGCTATAAAATCTTTTCCCTTCCTAGACATATTTTTCAATAATATTTTAGTTTTATTCTTATTTACCTTAAAACCAGAGACCTGTCCATACTGTGCTAAAATTTCAACCAACTCTTTGACCGAATCTGTTGGATGGGATAATGTCACAACCAAATCATCAGCAAAAGCTCTCAGCCTATAATCAATCTTACTTATTTTTATTCCTTTTAATCTAGATGAGTCTCGAATTTTAATAAATAAAATCTCCATTGTTAATACAAATAGCAAGGGGGATAAAGGACAACCCTGTCTTGTACCTTTTCCTATTTTAAATACGTCTGTTAATCCCCCATTAACTATAATTTGTGCCGATTGTTGTTGATAAATGGCCTTGAGAGCAGACAAGAATTTATCTCCAAAATTCATTTCCTCTACAACTTTTAATAGAAAATTCCAATCTAATTGATCAAAAGCTTTCTCAGCATCTATAAATATTAAAGCAGCAGGGATTTGGTTGTTCTTATCCAAATACTCTATTAAATTAACAATTTGTCTTACATTGTTTTTCATATATCTCCCCATTATAAATCCAGATTGGTCAGTATGAATCAATTGTTTCAAAACCTGCATTAATCTATTTGCCAGTATCTTTGCAAAAATCTTATGATCTGTATTTAAAAGAGATATAGACCTATAATTTCTAGGTTGGGACAGATCCTGGTCATCCTTTGGAATTAATGATATGAAGGCCGTTCTCCAAGATGGAGGTAATTCTGCTCCAGATAAAATATCATTAAAAAGTACCTTTAATGGTTCTATCATTTCTTCAGATAACAACTTGTAATAAATTGCTGTTAACCCATCAGTACCTGGAGTCTTACCAACCTTCAATTGTTTAATTGCAAAAATAATCTCTTCAGAAGTAATTAAACCATTAATCCCATCACATTGATCACTCGTAAGTCTAGGAAAATGTGCTAAATATTTTTCTATATCTGAAGTTTGTATACTTTCACTAGCATATAATTTAGAATAAAAATTTAAAAAAGACTTTTTAATCAAATTTTGTTGGTAGACTTCTTTACCTTTATAAATTATTTTATCTATAATCCTCAATTTCTGTTTCTTATGTAATTGATAAGCCAACCATCTACCAGGTTTATTTGCATTACAAAATGTATTATGTCTCACATACCTCAAATTAGTTGCCATTTGATCTGCTAATAACATGTTAAATTGCTCCTTCAACAAAGTAATAGAAACTTTTAACTTATTGTCCATTGGATTTGATATTAAAATCTTTTCCTTACATTTAATCTCATCTTCAAGATCTTTACGTTTCTGGGTCTGTTTACATCTGTGAGCATTGTTCATAGAAATCAAAACCCCTCTCATATATGCTTTACAAGAATCCCATACCATTGGCATCGAAGTACCCTTATTCATATTCCAAGCAAAAAATTCCTTTACATCGCTGTATATTCTCTTCATATCTAAATAAATTCTCATTCAACCTCCAAGACCTTCTAGTTCTTTCTTCCAATGAAATTTCCAACCATACCGGACTGTGGTCTGAAATTATTCTAGGAAATATCTTGATATTCTTCACCCTAGAAAGGAAATCACTAGTAACCAAGAAAAAATCAATTCTAGAATAAGATTGGTGTCTATCCAGAAAAAAAGTAAAGTCTTTTTCCTCAGTATTCCGTTCTCTCCAAATATCTCTAAGTTCCAAATCATCCTTTAAATTAAAAAAAACTTTAGGAAGTCTTGCATGGTTAGAAACTTTAAAAGGACCCTTCTTATCTTTACTTGAATCTAAAACACCATTCCAATCTCCCATCATAATAACTGACTTATAATCCAAAGAAGTTAATTTCTGATGAATCAACTTATAAAAATATTTTTGTTGTTGATTGGAGCATATAAACCAACAAGAAGAGTTCTTTTATCATTTATTAGTAAATCAATAATAACATATCTTCCTTGTAAGTCAAAATCAATTAACTTCGGTGAAAGCTCCTTTCTCACATAGATAACTCCTCCTCCTTTTTTCTACAAAGCAGGAGCTATAAAATGTATCCCCAGCCGGGGATTAAACAAATATTTTTGATCTTTAGAGCAGTACTGCAGGCCACTTTAGCTGACTGTGTTCAGCAGGTCAGCGGTTCAAATCTCACCGGCTCAAGGTTGACTCAGCCTTCCATCCTTCCGAGGTAGGTAAAATGAGGACCCAGATTGTTGGGGGCAATGTAAATATATATATATATATATATATATATATATATATATATATATATATATACATACATTGCTTACTGGTGTACACCGCTTAGAGAGTGCTTGCACTTAAAGCGGTATATAAGTCTCATAAATAAATAAATAAATAAATTTCTGTGTTGTTTCAAATAATGAAAGATTTTCTTTCTCTTCTGTGGTGAGTTAAGCCCATTAACATTCCAGGTTAGAAGCTTTGCCATCCTTGGCAGGATGAAGCCTTTGGAACAAAGCCTCTAGATTTACAGTCGATGATCTCTTTGGCCTTGCTCCTCCCACCGGCTCCGAAATAGACTGTGGTAAACTTCTATCATCTGCCTTTTGTTGTTGCTGCTGTTGTTGTTGTTGTTGTCTTTCTCTACGTTTATAAGCAGCACCTGTAATTCTCTGTTCCCTTGGGTCTTTTGTTATTTGCAAATTCTGTTGCATAACTTCAACCAACAATTCTTCTCCCAAAGATGGCATTGAACCTACAGACAACTGTGCTTCTGCCTTGCTCTCATCTTTCTTTGATCTTGGAGATGGTGGTGGACTTGCTTTTAAAATAGTAACATAAAAATCTCTTGCTTTTGAAACTGTATTAAGACGGCATCGTGTACCAGCATAAGTCACCATTATCCACACAGGTATGTCCCATCTAAATTGAATTTGTCGCTTCTTAAGTTCTTCAGCCAAAAAAGCAAAGTCTTTTCTTTTTCTAAGAATTTTAGAAGGTATTTCCTTTAAAACTATCACATCCTGAGCTGCAATCTGAAATCTTTGTTTATAAAAGGCCTGTATAATTTCATTACGAAGTGATTTTCTCGCAAAATAGACCACCACATCTCTTGGTAATTTCCTCTGTTTTGCAACCCACGAATTAACGCTAAAAATCTTTTCTATATCTTTCAACATTTCTTCGGGATCAATTTCCAAAATAGAGGCCAGTTCTGCTGCAATTTCTTCTCTCAAATTCTCCTTAATATTTTCCTTCAGGCCCCTTATTCTCAAAGCATACTCCATTTCTCTGTATTGTGACATTATAATTTCATTCTGTGTGAATCCACATTTTCTTCTATTTTTTTCAACTCTATCTTGTAATATTTCAGCATTACCGACCACTTCATCCACCCTATCGTCAATCTTTTCCACAAGGCCAGCAAGCCCTTGGAATGCCAAAACAATACACACACACACACACACACACACACACACACACACACACACACACACATATACACATTAAAAATAAAAGTAAAAATATGACTCTTGGGAATATCCATACTATTAAAACAATGATCACCAAGAGAATGCTTTAAGAGAATAAATTTACATACACACACAGGTAAAAAAAGGATATATGCAGTGTTATCTTCATTTTAGATGTCAAAAGGGTCTCTCTCTCCCTCCTTCTCTATCTGCCCTTGATCTGCCACTCCTCTTCCCCCACTCTCTCTCTCCCTCTCTCTCTCTTTCTCTCTCTTTCTTTCTTCCCCCCCCTCCTATCTGTTGCTCACCTGGCAAGCTTCAAGCTGTTGTCCAACAACCTCCGGGGTAGGCAACCTCATCTCTTTTATGACTCATGGACTTCAACTCCCAGAATTCCTGAGTCAGCCTAGCTGGGCTAGCTAGCTCTCTCCTGCCCTTCCTGCTTCCTGCTTCCTGCAGAGACGCAGCAAAGGGGGGGAGCTCCGCCCAGTAAGCTTTTCAGCTCCTCGGAGAACACTGTGAGTGTGTTCTCTTTTACACACACACACACAAAACACACACACACACACACAGAGAGAGAGAGACAGAGAGAGAGAGAGAGAGAGAGAGAAGCAGGGAAGTGCAATTGCCTCTCTCTGTCTCTGTCTCTCTCTGCAAAGGCAGAGGAGGCTGGGAGCCACAGGGGAAGGCTCAAAGAGCCGCATGCGGCTCCGGAGCCGCAGGTTGCCGACCTGTGGGTTAGGTCCTTATTCTTCTACTGTTGTCCTGCTTACTGGGCTACTTCCCTGTACTTTCCTGACCTTGTTCTAACCACAAAAGTCCTCACTACCATTCCTATGCGTGTCATTGCAAAAGTTGCACCCTTACATAGGGCTCAATTTCCCTTTTCTCCTATATTCTTGTTCAATGTTCCATTTTTCTTAAGAATTTGTGCTGACCACAAACAGTCATCTTTTCCTATGGAAAGTCAACAGCAAGCGAAAGCCAAGTGCCAGTTAGCAAGTTCAAATCTAAAATATGCTTAATTAATTAAATCACTCATAAAATAGGTATTAAATATATTTTTCCTTTCACACCCTACAGTGCTGGATCTGGCCTGAAGTAGAAGCTTGAGTTTTCAGAAGTCTCAACCAGCTGCCATTGCCCAGGCCTCTATGTCAACCCTAGCATCACTGCTGCCACTGAGGAATGCTGCCTAACTTCCCAAGCCTGCCTATCTTCCTCCTGATCCAGACCACCCTGCACAGTGGCTCTCAGGTGCAGCACCAGACCTGGGCCTCCAGTAGAGGCCTAGAGCTTTCAGGAGTCTCATTCAGCTGCCACCACCGCAGGCCTCTTACATCAACTGTTGCACCAGTGCTGCCCTTCAGAAATGCCACCTCATGCCCTTCTTCAAGGTGCACAAGCCTTGGAGAACAGCACAAGTGCCCCCAATGTTCCTCCAGATCTGCTGTTCATCATTTACCTTTAGGCATTTTTCTCCTGCTGTTAAGAGGACCGCCAGAACGGGCTCCAAAGGTAAGCGGCACACATATCTTGTTTACATGTTCTGTCAATTTCAGACCCAAGCTTGACCATAAAATTTGTCAACTGCCTCCTTTTCTGCATCAGTGGTTAAAGCATAAATTTGGAAAAGCTTCATAGGAGACAGAGCTGCTAGTGGATTAATTGCTAAATATATTGTGACATTCCACTACAATATGGCAAGGATGGGAAGATCAGATTCTCCACTCCACAGGAAAATGTACTATAGCACCTATCAGACTGGCAGAAAATTGCAACAGGTCTCAGGTATGATGGGAAATGAACAGACTTAGAAATACTCCACAACCCATTTTTCCATTCTACCTGTGAAACATATGCAGAAGCCTGATATCAGGCAGACAGGCCAGAAAAATCTCTAGCTGAATGCTGTCCTACTGATATACTTCTCTCTATATGAACAAGGTTGCTAATGTTTAAGTATATAATGATGATTTTTAAAGGATGCATGCAGCTACTAAATGGTAGATTTTGCTCTCTCTCTCTCTCTCTCTCTCTCTCTCTCTCTCTCTCTCTCTCTCTCTGCGTCTGTATCTGTCTGTCTTTAGGTCAGTCTTGACTCCTGGCAATTACTTAGACAAGTCCATGCAGTTTTTTTGGCAACAGTGTCTAAAGTGGTTTGCTACTGCTTTCTTCCTAATGCTGAGAAAGTGTGTCCGGCCAGAGTTACCCAGCAGGCTTTGTATCTAAGGCAGGGCTAAAACTCATAGTTTCCTTGTTTCTATTTGTGTGCTTTTCACCCCTTCACCAAACTGGTTCTTTACTGAATGTAACGTTCCTAATTTCCATTTAAAAATTTATATAAATGTTCTTTTATACAACTATTCTATAGAACTAGAACTAAGGAGAAATTTCCTGACAATGAGAACAATCAACCAATGGAATGGCTTCCCTTCAAAAGTTGAGGGTGCTCCAACAATGGAGACTTTTAAGAAGAGCCTGGATAGCCACTTGTCTGGAATAGTAAAGGTTCTGCTTAAGCAGGGGGCTGGTCTAGAAGCTCTCCAAGGTCCCTTCCAATTCTGGTGTTCTATGTTCTATGATCTTCTTAAAATTATGAATCTCTTGCATTTGTTCACATACACATTTACAATCTATCTCAAACAAATTTTTGCTAAGAATAACTTCCTATATTTTAATTGGGTGACTATGTTTTCATACTTGAAAAGCAGAATAAGAAATTCTGAGATATTTAACCTATAATTTATGTCTATGTTTTCAAGACTGTTCCAGATCCAAAACTTTACAGAGTTCTTGAACATGACTAAAAACACTTGGGTATGAGACATAATATAAAAAAGAAGAAAGCAACATAAAACACAACAAATAAATTTTGGAGGAAAATATTTTAAAGGAATGTGAGCAGAATTTTATTGTCCACAATAAAGTCAGAATTTAAAAATCTAAATCATAATTTTAATCCACTAAATATGTAGATATATATTTCTCCTTTTCTTTATAGTAACCCACAGTCCTTGAAAAGATATTCTGAAGGGTTCCTAAATGATCTTGATCAGTTTTTGCAAATAAATGGTAAAGAAAATATCCCCATTCTGCTAAGGGAAGCAATTCAATGAGCAGATATTGTCGTAATAACTAATATGTTATAAATAATAATACAATAATGATATAGATAATATATCTAAAATGTATCATTGTTAGAAGAAAATCTCTCAAATTTATCAAAGCAATTTCACAGTATATTATTCTTTATTGCATTTTAAAATGTAAAAAAAATGTTCATGATATTCAGGCAAGCTAGGCATTCACAATCAAAGAAAATCAAATTCATAATGTATCATTTTAGTAAATACTCATTTGTAAATTAGTATGTGACCAAATATAAGACATTTATAATTTGGGGGAAGAAAATGTATATACATTCATAAGATTATATATTCAACAATATGCTCAATTTTCTGTTTTAGGAATCAGAAACGTATGCACATTTAAGTGCATTTCTACCTCCTGAGTGTTGAGCACCACAAGGTCTTTAATTGCTTGGCTATTTAAACTCTTCGTCACTGAAATATAAATATGAAGAGTTCTGTAATTGTACTGCCCCCTGCCGCTGACTTTATTTTAGGACAATAATGTTTTCCTGGAAAAACAGTTTTTATCATCTAACATAAGAAATTCAAATGTTCAATACTTCTCTCACTTGGCAGAATTTATATTTCACTTATCACTGTTTGCTTACTGAGTGAGAAATGTATTACCATTTTCCTGAAGGAAAAGGGGGATATAAATCTAAAAAATAATGTTTAACAGTATGAACATCCTAATTAGGGTATCCAAGGTTGTATGTTTTGGAAGAAAAATATTTATTAAATATGTTTCACAATATAAGTGCTTCGTTTTTATACATACTCATTGTATCCACAGATCTGTTGCTAAAAAGCATAATTAAAAAATAAAGAATTCCTTTTCATATATTTACAACAGTACAACATATCATTGGGCTTAATGTCATTACAGGAGACCTCTTTAGACAGCTATATTATATCACCTTAATTGTAAAACTAGAAATAACATTTCACTTCTCTCCTTCCCCTGACCAAACCATTCCATGGTCATCTTTGCTGCTAAATTTCTAGGATATTGGAGCCAATAGCAAAAGTTGGACTTTGCAGAAGAATAGGAAGAGAATTGACTCCTTTAAAGTTTGAAGAAGAGTCGTGAAAATACCATGGACAATCAAGAAAAAAATGGATTATTGAACAGATCAATCCAGAATTGAGCAAGCAAAATTATCCTACTTCAGACATATTATGCAAAAACCTATTTTCTTGAAGAAAGCTCTGATGCTGGCATTGGTGGAAGAACAGAGGAGAAGAAGACTAACAGAAGCAAGCTGAATGGACTCAGTTACAGTCGCAATGAGTGCCCAGCTGGAAGACCTGAAGGACCATGGACAGATCATCATGGAGAAAATCTGAGAGTCAGCCACAATGTGATGGCACATAATCAATCAATGGAGTCAGAAATATCTACTAACAAAATAAATAAACTGAATGACATTTTATCGTAGAAACAGATTTGCATCATCCACCCCTTTCCAAGAATCTTTTAGAGCAGAGATGGGGAAATGACTTGTGGACTTTGACTCCCAGAATTCCTGAGCTAGCATGAGAGTTGAAGTCCACAAGTCATAAAAGGGACATAATTCGCCACTCCTTATTTAGAGGGAACTCCAGTTACAAGGTCCAATCCTAGCTCAATGCTTTGTGTTTGCAGAATACTAGATTCAATTACTAACTGGTAGCATAAGAACAACGGATTGATATAGCAGATAAGACCTAGAAAATGAGGCAATACATGTTTTATTGCTGCTATAAACTGAGAATTTCCTTTTTAGGAAATTTCTTTCTTATCTTCACCCCCATGATATGCAGCATGAGATAATTAAATCGGCTTAATCAGCAAGACTATTGTAAATCCATTCTGAAGCAATTTATTGACAATACTAGGCACAAACATTTCTTTGCATAAAATATTCTTCAATACATTATTAATATTAACTAAACTAAGCTATAAAACAGAGAGAGAAATAATCCTCTGCATCCAAACTTATTTTTTTAATTTTGCATCCAAATTATTCAGTTACACAAACATTTATTGTTATTATTATGGCAGCCTCTGCCACTTTATAAGAAAGAATACAGATTTTTTTTATTCTTCCCCAGCTATATTAATGCAGTCAACAATTCTGAATTGTCTTCTAGGGATAAGCCACATAACTTTGTAAATTTTGGGGCCATTTGGACACTTGAATCATGATCAGCTAGAATTACCTTGAGTATATCATCAGCATAGCAATGGTTGTCCACCACTCCCACAAAGCATCCACAAAGATTTGCTATATTAACAATAAATAGCTATTGGTAATTTGCATATATTAATGCATTTAAGCATGTGAACATTTCAAATTGCCCTTAGTGTAACACTGAAGCCACACTTTTTAAAGCTGCAAAAATGCAGCTGGCAACACAATGCCAGACCCATTTTAAACTATACAGGTGATAACAGTACTAAAGCAGAGCTTGTCAAGCATGAGGTTCATCCCAGCCGACTCTCTATTATACTTACAATTGAAAGGCCTACTGTGGAAAAACCAGCTCTGCATGCAACATATTCATTACATATACAACGGTACTTAAAAGTTCAATATTTCTGCATAAACTGATAGTAAGTACCCAGAATTACTGTTCTTTATATAGGGAGGACCTCATTTATTCACATATATCACACACACACACACACACACACACACACACACACACACACACACCTATTGCTTCCCACTGATTGAAACAATTAGATTGACTCTAATTTCCCCTTAAATGAACTGGTAATCTTATAGTCAAATATACTTATGCCATATATCCAATATGTAATTTTGGAACATTTTTCTAAATAAATAAATGAGCAAGCATAATGCTTTTGACTCCTTTATTTTATTGGGTTCTTTTTAGTTTTAGGACTTGTGCAGAGCAGATCACATTTTAGGGCAAATATTTGCATATTTATTAAAGAACAAAATAAATATTTAAAATAATATAAATAAATAATAGTATAAGTAGGATAAAATCATTTCAACAAAAAATAAATATAATCAAATAATATAAAAATAAGCCATGTTTCATGCTTTGATTTCTTTCATACGAATATACAGATTAACAGTTGGTAAAATATAAAACTTAAACTTGAAAGTAGTTTATTCAAATTTAATATAATGCTGCCAGCTAGTGGCAGCATCTTATTTTGAGCTAATGAGCTAGTTTACTACTGAGCTGCTTTAGAAGTTAGACTATTTAGCTAGTAAGCTGCCCAAGATAAGATATATGGATGCAAATTTTATATTAATCTACATTAAACTAGCTGAAAAATGAAAAAAAAAACAACTTTTACAATTAAAATTATTTGGATGTTGTGGTTTTATGAATTAATATATCAGATATTTTAATATTGATATTATTGCTTTTATTAGGGTAAACAGTAGAGCAAGATTCTAAATTTTTTATGTGTGCAATCAAATATTTCTCCATGCATACTTGCTCAGATTTTTGAGCACCCAATTTTGAAGAACTTTTCAAATGCAAGTCTCATTCTCAGGGAGAATGTGTGATTCAGATAATCCTCAGTTAATGACCACACATTCAACAACTATTACAAAGTTACAAAGATGTTCTGCATTTATGATTGGTCCTTAGTTCTGGCCATCCCAGCACCCTGTGGTCACATTATCATGATCCAGGAGCTTGGCAACCAGCTCACACTTACAATTGCAATGTCTCGCTGTCATGTGATCACCTATTCTGACCTCCTGCTGGCTTCCCCCAACCAAAATCAATGAGAAGTCTGGCAGGGAAGGTTGTTAATTGTTCCTGTAATTCAGTCCTGCTTCCTACCACTTTTTCTTCTATGGAGCACCCACCCACCTGCAGACCCCTGGCCCACACTCTATAGCATATGCTGGCAGCCACTAGCATAATTTTCCGCAGCCAGCACCAGTTCATGCAGCGCCATAGTAGCCACTGGTGCACCCTCTCACACCTGACAGCAGCCACCCTCACCCTGTCTATACTTGCCACAACTTAATTGCCCATTAGCCGGCTTGAGAGCTAATTGCAACTTTCTGCTAGCTTCCCCACTGGATTTGCTAGATAGAAGCCAGCCTAAAGTTGTGAGGAGATCCTTGCATAAAGATCCACAATCCTCACTTAACAGTGTCAACAGGGACAGATGGGTTTGCCATTGGTAAGCAATGTAGTCATATGATATTGCAGTTTACAACCACATGGCTTTGTGATAGAAATTTTAGTCCCAATACACACACAAATAAACAGATGCACAAAATAATCAATAACACTACTAGTTTTTCAACCTCTGCTTTCATTGTTTTCCAATCTGAAATGCTATTAGCTACCTATACAGTATGCTCAAGTAGGGTTTTCTCAATTAATATTGATATTAGTGTTTTTGCAATATATAAATCACATAGAGAGAGCAAATTTAGTGTAGTAGTTAAGTGGCCTTCTAATAGTCTAGAAACTGGAGTTGTGGGTGGCTGGATGACTTTAGGCCAGGGTTATCAAACTGCCGGCCCGCAGGCCAGATGCATCATAGCAAAACCACGCCCACCCATTGCCAGCAATGGCAAAAAAGTTGCGATAAGTCATGACATGTCATGTGATATTGCAAGTTTTACACCCCTGCTTTAGGTTAATCACTATCTTTTAGCTCTAAGAATGCAGTGGCAAGTCACTTCTAAAAATGTTGCCAAGAAAATTGCAGGAATTCGTCTAGGTAGTTGCTAGGAATTGAGACTGACTTAAAGACAGACACACAAAAAATTCTCATAGTTCTCCTTTCTTTTGTCAATCTGTGAATTACCTTTTTCTACCTAACAGTATTTCAATAACAGATTTGCTAAGCACACTTTAGGCCACAGGTCGGCAACCTGCGGATCCTGAGCCGCATGCGGCTCTTTCAGCCTTCTCCTGCGGCTCCCAGCCTCTTCTGCCATTTGCAGAGAGAGATAGAAACAGAGAGAGGCACTTGCACTTTCTATCTGTGTGTGTGTGTGTGTGTATGTGTGTGCGTGTAAAAAGAGAGTGGTCTCACCCTGTTCCACGAGCTGAAAAGCTTATTGGGTGGGGCTCCTCCCTTTGCTGTGTCTCTGCAGGAAGCAGGAAGGGGAGGAGAGAGGCAGCCTGTTGCAGAACAGCTTGAAGCCAGCTTGCCAGGTGAGCAGAAGATTAAAGAGAGGGAGAGAAAAGGGGTAGAGAGAAAGAGAGAGAGGGAGAGAAAGAGAGATAGAGCAAAGAGAAAAAGAGAAAGAGAGAAAGAGAGAGAGGGAGAGAAAGAAAGAAAGAAAGAAAGAAAGAAAGAAAGAAAGAAAGGGGACAGGAAAGAGAGAGAGGGAGAGGAAAGAGAGAAAGAGAGAGAAAAGAGAGAGAAGAAAGAGAGAGGAAAGAGAAAATGAGAAAAATAGAGAAAGGAAAGAGAGAAAGAGTGAGAGAGGGAGAGAGGGAGGGAGAGAAGAGAGAGGGAGAGAGAGAGAAAGGAAAAGAGAGAAAAAAAGAGAGGGGGAGAGGAAAGAGAGAGAGGGGAGAGAAAGAGAGGGAGAGGAAAGGGAGAGAAAGAGAGAGAGGAAAGAAAGAGAGAGGGAGAGAGAGAGGGAGAGAGAGAAAGAGAAGGGAGAGGAAAGAGAGAGAGAGAGAGAAAAGAAAGAGACAGAAAGAGAGAGGAAAGAGAGAGAGAGAGGAAAGAGAGGAAAGAGAAAAAGAGAAAGAGAGAGAAACAGAGAGGGTGGGAGAGGAAAGAGAGAGGAAAAGAGAGAGGAAAGAAAGAGAGGGAGAGAGAGGGAGAGAGGAAAGAGAGAAAGAGGAAGCACAAGTGCCCCCCCCCTCTCTCTCTCTCTCACACACACACACACACACACACACACACTCACACTGAGTGGGGGTAGAGGACTGGCAGACCAAGGGCAGAAAGAGAGAGAGGGAGAGAGAGGGAAGGAGAGAGAGGGAGGGACAGAGAGACAGAGAAAGACAGAGAGAGAGACCCTTTTGACATCTAAAATGAACATAACACTGTATGTATATAAACCCGAACAACCAAAGACCTACATACAAACACCCACGAAAACCTCAGAAAACAAATATATATATATATAGTGAGGTTTTCACGGGTGTTTGTATGTAGGTCTTTGGTTATTCGGGTTTTCTCCCGCATAAAATTGGAAGTGTCTTGGCGACGTTTCGACGAAGTCCCATTTGTCATCTTCAGGCTGGTGTTTTCGGCTTCGTGCTTCTAGGAGCAATGTGTGATCGTAGCTGTTTCTTCCTTTTAACTGCCAGTGGGGGTATGAACTGATTGGGTGGGAGCTTGGCTGTGTTGTGATTGGGTGGAGGTGTGTTCTGATTGGTTAGGGGCTTGGGTGTGTTCTGATTGGATGGGGGTTGGCTGTGCTCTGATTGGATGGGGGAGTGTTCTGTTTGGGTGGGGGCTTTGTTGTGCTCGGGTTAGTCTGAGTTGCAGGGGGATGTGAGATGCTGAGCTGCATTGCTATTGTTTGGCTTCGCGTTCATGGTCGTGCCTCATCTTCATGGTGGGTGTCAGTTTGCTTCATGCATGGATTGGAGGAGTTTAAAGTGGCTAATGATGCAGCTGTAGTCTGGCTTCTGGTTTGTGATCGTGCCTCATCATCAGTGTGGGTTTGGGTTTGCTTTTTCCGTGGATGTGTGGTGGTGACATCCTGTGTGGTTTTCGTGAGTGTGGGTCTGGTGTCATTCTTTGTGTTAGGGATTCGTTTGTCAATAAGGGCGGGTTTCCAAATGGCTGATAGGCGGGAGGTATCATCTTGTTTATTCATGCTGTGAACCAACTTCTTCCCTGGTCCAACACCTTAAAGCCACAGGACATGAAATTGACTTTAAAAAGACCAGAACTATTGCCCAAACTGAACACTTTAATAACAGAATAATTAGAGAAGCCATTGAGATAGAAAAACGCCCACAAAGCATGAATAAATGAGATGATACTCCTGCCTACCAGCCATTTGGAAACCCCCCCATCCAATCAGAGCACAGCCAAGCCCCTAACCAAACTCAAACCCACACCGATGATGAGGCACGACCACAAACCAGAAGCCAGACCACAGCTGCATCATTAGCCACTTTAAACCCCTCCAATCTATACATGAAGCAAACTGACACCCACCATGAAGATGAGGCACGACTACGAACGCGAAGCCAAACAATAGCAATGCAGCTCAGCATCTCACATCCCCCTACAACTCAGACTAACCTGAGCACAACAAAGCCCCCACCCAAACAGAACACTCCCCCAGCCAATCAGAGCACCGCCAACCCCCCATCCAATCAGAGCACAGCCAAGCTCCTAACTAATCAGAACACACCTCCACCCAATCAGAACACAGCCAAGCTCTCACCCAATCATTTCATACCCCCACTGTCAGTTAAAAGGAAGAAACAGCTACGATCACACATTGCTCCTAGAAGCACGAAGCCGAAAACACCAGCCTGAAGATGACGAATGAGATTCCGTCGAAACGTTGCCAGACACTTCCAATTTTATGCGGGAGA